GAAGTAATTTATTTTTTATTTAATAATAAATTTTTTATAAAAATAATAATTAAATATTCTATTAGAACTCAATGATTATCTTAATAATATTTTAGATTTTTTATATTGAAAATAAAATGTTTATCTTGTATTTGACTATTTCATCTACAGTTAATTACATGAATTCAAACATGAAGCTTTAATAAGTTGTATTTACGCACAATTTATTTGTAATATTGAAATTTAAGTAATATGTATCAATAAACGGTACTTTATGTATAAAATAAAAAATAATTTTTAAGAGTTTTTTGTCAAATGCTTTATAATATAGTATAGATAACAAAAAAATATTTATGCTAAGAAACAAATTTTAATACATAATTATCAAAACTTAAATTTTTAATTAAAGAAATTTTTTTAATTTGAATCACAATCAATTATAGAGTAAATTATGTTTTTGGTCATTATAGTTTGTTCAAAGTATGATTTGTCTCTTTTAATAGTTACTAAGGGGTTGTTTGTTTACTTCTTAATAGTTTTATTAAGATGCAGTTTTTAAATCGTTAAGAGGTGAATCTTATTTGACAAAACAAAAGTCTATCTCTTAATGGTTATAAAACCCTTCGAATGATTTATATCATAAGTCTCCCTTAACCATTCAGCGCCCTAATTTCATTGTAAACAATAACCAAACAATTATATTTTATTTTACAATATATCATGAGAGTCTTTTAATTATTTCGACCACTTAATCATTCTGTACAAAATCATTCAACAACTACCAAACAGTCCCTAATTGATAATTTATTTTAAGGACCGAATATAAAATTTGAGCATACTACAGGGACCATAGTTGTAATTCACTCTAACTAAAATGAGTTTATTCGGATTCATGTAAATTCAGATGGGAAGCGGGATGTCAATTAGGTATAATTTTCGGGATTGTGTGTTTTACCTTCTCCCTGTATCTGTTCTCTGTTATTCTCCCTCCGCTAGACCTCCCTTGGCGCCGCCGCCGTCGCAACCGTCTGAAAGTTCACTTGTTTCTGCTGGTTGATTCCGTAGCATCGGAACTAAGGTCTTTATCTTTCTCCTGTTCTCGTTTTCTATAGTTTCCAGAGTTTGTTCTATTTGTACAACTGCACATGCGCATCGATTTTGAACAAACATAGCGATCAGCAGGAATTTTGGTCAGAAATCATGGGTACTAAGATGGATAACGCACACCAGAGTGATTTCATGTTCTGTGATATTTGTGGAACGATGCTTTCGTTTGATTCCAGAAATTATATTCGATGCCCACTCTGCAAATTCAAAAGGAAGGCCATAGGTGAAGTTTCGTTCCTACTTCCCATCCTCTCTCCTTGTTTTATTTTGCTGAAACTTGTAATCTTTCCGCTTCACACCAATGCTAGCATTTTTCTTTTTGGAAATCCTGCGAGATTTGCAAATTTTTGGAAAAAGTTTCGTCGAATTATCTAGTTGCTTGTCTTGTGATTCATTTTAACCCAAATGATTTGATTTAATTAGAATGTTGAAGAACATATTCGAATACTGAATAGCATCTCTAACCATTGGTACCTAGTCGTAGCCAGCCATTCTACTTAAAGATTCCAAAAAAGAACATTGTGATTGGCGGACAGATAACCGTTATACTTTGCAAGAATGCTTGGAAATAGCCATCATGCATGTTAAATTTTTGTTTATTCTTCCAGCTATGATGTTTTTTTTTTCTATTTGCAATTTGCAACTATTGGTGAGAATGGTTGGTTAGCAAGCAAATTCATGCCGAGTACTATTTAGAAACATATTCCACTCTTTGAACTATCATTGATTAGAGTTCAATTTTGTATTCTTTTGTGAGAAAGGCGGAGGGTATATTAGATGCACTCACCTCTTCAAAGGTAAAGAGGCTAATAGACGCAGTAAGTGACGAAAACTTGATAGCATGTATAACAGAAAGAAGATCGTTTGCATCTAATTGATAAACAGTATACAAGCCAAATTTAGGAGCTGATTGTTTCTCTTTGAATGGTAACTCAAGAAATCTTGTTGATTAAAACTTGTTAGAAGACCTAGCACTGGGTATTGGCATTTACTTCCTCCATTTTAGAATTAGTCTTTAGTTCCAAATTATGTAAAAATGGAAAATATATTCGCATAAGTGTTTTGTTAAAAGCTTGTGGCTCTTTAGTTTATCCCATTTTCCCAGTTCTTATATCCGGATTTTGGGCTCCATCTTCATTTGTCTTCTCATGATGAGAATAAGACTCCATGAAGTTCAGAAATTCACTCCTTGAAGTAGTTCCGTGATCTTATATGTTGGTGAAGATTTTGATATTGTATCCTTGCTTCTGAGTTCATTTGACTTCACATTTTTTACCTCTCTTATATGCCTTGTTAGCCAAATGTTTATTTATGAAACCTAACACTAACTCATTTCAGCTATTGCTGGAAAAGAAATAAAATACACTGTGAGTGAAGAGGTACGTACTTACTGCAGACTTAATCATGCTGTACTGCTTCTAAAACCTTTCTGTAATTGTTTGGGTATATTATTGAGTTGTGTTGTTGTCTACTGAAAAAAGTTGAAACTTTTCTTGTCCACTTTGATACAAGGTAAATTGTATTGGTTGGCTAATGCATTGGAGGTTAAATCTAGTGATTCCATTTGATGATATTTAACAAGTTTTGTTACTTTTTACTGATTATTAATAACTCAGCCCAAGTCTATTGGTTAGTTTCGTGTTTGAACCCAAAAGGCTTATAATTGATTCCTGATCATAATCACAGGCGGATCCGTTAAACCTTAATGAGTGCCTCAGTCACTTCGACTTAACAAAGTAAAAGAAAATTTCCTCACCGTAAGGAGTCGTTCCCACAGCCTTCACTCTAGCGGGCAATGTGTGCCCCTGGTCACCACAGGTCTTGGATTCGCCACTGAATTCACAATACTTCACCAAGCAGAAACATGCGTATACATGTGTATGTGTATATATATGTGTGTGTATGTTGTGTGAATCTATCTTAAGACAACAATGGTTTAGCACAGGGAAACATGTGCATGTGTGTGTCAGTGTGTGTGAATATATCTTAAGACAACAACGGTTTAGTAGAGGGAGACGCCCTAGCACATGTATATCCAAATCCAAGTCCTTTAAACTGACAATGCACCCAATTATTTCGTTAGTATTCTTGCCAATTACCTCTCTAAGCAAGGAATTGTGCAAAGCTCATGGGTCAACACCCAGGCTGAAAATGGGGATACTGAGCAGAAAAATAGAGAAACTGCTTGTTCCCTTCTCTTAATGGACTCAAATACTTGTGGGGAGATGCAATTCTCACTGTTGTCTAACTCATAAGCCAAATGTCATCATGTGTCTTGAAATTCAAAACCCCATGTCGAGTCTTTCTAGGGTCCTTTCCTCACACTCACCTCGTCTCAGATATATCTCCAAGATATTCTGGGTGTGTAAAGCTTTTGTTCATATTCATCCATATGACAGAAGCGAACTTGACCCCGAAGCCTCCAAGTGCAATTCTTCTTATGTAATTACTACTTGTTTTCACTTCATTCTTTTAAAATTTTTGAACTTGGTTCCCTTATTTTTTTCATTCATTTTGTTTGGTATACATGTTACTTCAAGTACTCAAACTCTATTGTTTTTGTATGACTTCCTCCATTCTTTGCTTGCTGTACGTGCATTGCATCTAAGAGTGCTCATAAGATTTTTTTTTAGAATTATTAGTATTTTTTTACTGAATTTTCTAAACGCTTGTTTAAAAATTTTAACATCCTAGTTGGGCTCTTTTTTACAGTCCCCCTGATCTATAAAAGGTTAGAATTGGGCCTCGTATCACATATGTATGTAAATATGTATATATTTGCCTCTTTCCTATGTGGGTTTTAGCAGTTTCATCATGTAAACATGTTCAAGTTCCAGTAATTATACACATCCTGAACTTGCATTTCCATTCCATGACAGCAAATTAGAAGAGAGTTGGGGTTGTCATCGATCGAAATTTCTGGAGAAAGAACAAGATCAATGGCAAGTACATTTTCATTACATAAATCGAAATTTCAGAAAAAGAAACCTCCTTAACCCTTTTTTATGGGTTTCTCTTTCTCAACAGGATTATAATGTAAGATGTCCAAAGTGCTCGAACAAGGGTGTATACTATCACACACAGCAGGTACTCCTACACCTTCTTCTCCATTTCATGGCATGGTTTTTATGCATTATATACTTGTACAGTACAAATTCATGAATACATTTTGTTCGATTCGCAAACATAACTTTGAGAAACGATGTTTGTGTGTTTCCTTTTTTGTTGAAACAGACCAGATCTGCTGATGAAGGTCAGACCATGTTCTATAATTGCCCCAACTGTGGATACAATTTCACAGACAATACATGAAGAACCCAATGTACCAAACCCCTCTCTTCATTTCCTTTAGTTACCATCAGCAAACCCAAATTTTTCCCCAGCCGGCTTTTTGCTGTTGATTTAAATAGATACCCATTGTTTGTCTGCACATACTCTCACTTGTAGCTTGTTCGCTTGTGGCTAAACACCCTCTTTAGGGGTTCCTATCACTGTGTGGGATCTACTGGTCCGCCGTCTTTTTCTACATTTTATCTTGTTACTTATGCTTCCTCTGTTATGTGGCTGCTATCTCTTAATGGATAAGGCGGTGCTTATTCAAGAAGAGATATTGTTGTTTACCAACATTGTTTGACAGTTTGACTAACAAATGTTGTTGACGGAGATGTTTACCTGGTAAGCGTCACGATGCCCATTTGATCAACGCTTGCACTTTCCAATTCTACCTGGTTACCTTACACATACTGCACTTGGTCAACAACCTTTTTCAGTCGACGCTTTCCAAAACTAATCCTCTTACCTGGTTGGCGTTTATACAATTTGTGTTGGTAAACGGCCTCCAACCGATAGTTGTTATGGTTGTGGGCTGGCCAAGTTGGAAGACTATGAGGTGAGGCATTGAAGACAAAAAGTTGTGGTACGTTAAGGCAGGGTTGGCTAACAAATCTATTTGTTGTCGACCCTGAACGAATATTTGAACTAGTTCTTGGTTCTACATCGGTTTGTGAACATGAATCATGTCAAGATTTCGAATCACATGATTTTGCCTCCGTGTCGTGAAGAACTTCATTAACAACTATAGAATTCCTTTCTACATGGCGTTAAAAGTCTTTGAAAAAACCACAAGGGTGGTGCCTGATTGGTTTGAACTTGGCTCCAAATGTCAAAAGTATCAGGAGGTCACAGGTTCAAATCCAAGGAGGAATAAAAATCCTCTCGTGGCCACAGAGGTTCAAATGCGGTGACTCCGGGCTATCTGCAAAGCAGGTGGTTGTCCTGGGATTAGTCGGCTTGCATAGCGAGTTGGATATCCAGATTAATAAAAAAAAAAAGGTCTTTGAAAAGTGAGCATACTATGAATGGTGATTTTCTCGTTGTAGTTGTGTCCCAAAAAGAACATTTTAAATTCCAAATTATCAAAATTAATAATTTGTTGATACGAAGGATCTTGTAAAAATAAAATAAATTTTGATTGAAAACTATAAATAAATAAATGAAAAATCTGAAACTTTAGACTTTTTAAAGTAAAAAGAAGATATTATGGTATTAAACTCAGGACAAAATGCAAATGCTACGATTCAGGGAATAAAGCTCTTTATCCAAATACTTATTCGGTAAGCGTTTACCGGTAGGAGTCAACATTATAATTTGTTTTATCAGATAAGATTGTAATATATTAAAAGGGTATTGTATGCAACAATTTACCCGGTAAACGCTTACTGGGTAAGAGTCCTTACCATCACTTATCCCTATTATCGCTCTTACTGTGTAAGATTTTCAGCCCTTGCTATGTGCAGCATGTGAGAAAACTCACCCGATCCACACTTACCGGGTAAGTATTTAGTAAACGACCCTTAAATCTCGTTAATACACTCTAACCAGTAAATAGGTAAATTTATAGAACAAACTTTTCTTAAAAGAATATCGACGTGTTTTTTATTTTATTTTTGCAAAAGAAATAGATTCGCTAAAATACTTAGGCATGATGAGTAACGTATCAAAAGTATTTGTTGTATATGTTTTGATAGATTAAAATCTTACCCAGTAAGAGTGTGGACTTTTTAGGTAGCATGAAGGTAAACGGCTCCTAAATGCATAATTTCCTCCCCAAACACATCAATGTATTGTTTGGCAAACATAAGTTGACTTATAAATAACTTATTTTTTGAGCATATGTTTGTATGGACATAAACTAGCTTTTTTCGAACCGTTTAAATTCTTAAAATAGATGTTATTTTGTTAAACATAATTTTAAATTATATTTTCAAAATATTTATGCCTTTATCAAGCTTGATATTTATTCACTCAGATTTTGACATGATCTCCAAAAAAAAACTTAGTTTTTATAAAACTAAAGAGATCAATTTCAAACTTTATCATAAAAAAGACAAAATTAGAAATTTCATCTATCTCCCTTTTTTTCCCTTGCTTTATTATCTCTCTTTCAATTTGGGACAAATCCACTAACTCTTCTTATAGTTTTGCTTTTATCTTTTTCCAATTGTAATTTTAATTAAAAAATAATTGATTAATTTTTATAATAAAAAAATACATAATTTTATCTAAATATTTATAAATATATGATTTTTTTTATTATTTATATTTTATAAATTTTATTATAAAAATTAATTATATTTTAAAATTAATTATATATAAAATAATTGAATATTTCATATGAGTTTTTCAAATCATGTATCAGATAGCTTAACTCAACTCGTTAAGATTAGGGGTGAGCATAGGCGGGTACCCGTTCTTTTTTACAGGAACCGGAACCGGAACCGGCGGTTCTTGAGATATTGGAACCGGAACCGGAACCGGTTAGAGCGGTTTTTAAATTTTTGGAACCGGAACCGCCGGGAACCGGTTCCGGTTCCGGGTATCCGCTTCTTAAAATATTAAAATTTTGTTATTTAGAAATAAAAAATAAAACATTGCCAAAACACTAAATAAATAAGCAAGAATACAAATTATACAGAATAGTGGTTACAAACATTGAAACGATTACAAACCATAATAGACTAATAGAAAATGTTCAAAGTTTAACGATTACATACTATAATAGTAATTGTTCAAAGTTTAACGATTATATACTATGAATTCAAATGAACACACAATTTGAAAAAATACGAATCATTTTATATGAAGAATTTAGATGAAGAATGAAAATGACGACGTGCTTTTAAGATGTAAACCTAATATAAATTTGGTATTAAAAAATAATAATTATTTTTTTATTGAAAAATACCGGGTACCTGGCGGGTAACGGTTCAGAAAAATTGAGAACCGGAACCATTCTCAATCGGTTCCGTCGGTTCCGTATTTTAGGAACCGGAACCACTCATATCGGTTCCGGTTCCGAAACTGACGGTTCCAAGACGATTCCGATTCCATAATCGGGTACCTGGTTTCATTGCTCACCCCTAATTAAGATGTCGAGTGGAGCTGAGAGAGAGGTTTAGAAGGAAGGTTGTTGGAAAGGTAGGTTTTGCTTTCAATCAATCAATCCAAGTCAAGTGTGAGCCTTTTCCGATGACGTCAATTGTAAGCCCATCATTCGTCATCATCTTCATGTCACTTCATCCCACGTCGCTTTTCAATTTTATATATATTTTTTTAATTAAAAATAATCATAAATTATTTATTTATTTATTTTCAAAAGGTGAAATTCATTAACCATTCTTGTGTAACAATTGAATGTTTCTTTACACTGATGGATAAATCTTACAACAAAAGATCGTGTGAGAATGAGAGTTAAGGCAACAAACGTAATAATATATCTGGATTTTTGATCTTTTTTAATCTCATTCCACTCTATAAATTACGCTTATCACAAGAATTGATTCCTTACATCTTGGTTCACTTCATTAATTTTGATCTTCAATTAGGATTTGCTTCAACGGTGGAGATCCATTCTTAGTCTGCTCAACTTAACTTTTATTCTCACCGAAACTCAACTAATAACTCTCCTTGCCAATTAATTTTTAAGCTTGGTCACTTGAGTCCGAACTTAAATTCAACGCAGATAAGTCGATCATTTTGAAGTGTTGATATTATATCTTAGACCCAGATATGAGCAGATTCGATATACGGCTTAAGTGATGCACAAAGATTTGAGAGAGTATTTGACAATTACGTAAAGATATGAGTTTTGTATGATTTACTAAGGAGGAAACTTTCATCGAGTTTTATATCACAGAGATTTGTTATAAATCTTCGTACTAATCGAACTTGATATTTTATCAATTTAGATAAATCGACAAGATTAAGAATCAGTAACTAAAAATATTAATTTCTCTCTCCAAGCATCAAACTTTAAACTATGTTTGGTAAACTAGTTGATAATCTATATGACAACTGATAAGCTAGATGATAAAAAAAAATTATGTTGACAACTGATAAGCTAGATGATAAAAAAAAATTATGTTGACAACTGATAAGCTAGATGATAAAAAAAAATTATGTTGACAAAAACTAACTGATAAAAATGTAAAATTACCAAAAAAAAATAAAAAATCTTAAAACAATATTTTATAATATAGTTTAAACAAATGTTTAAAGAATTTTTAAGTTTGGAGTTTTTTTCAATTTTAAGGAATTATATAGAAATTATGTTATATCAAAATAGTGAATAAAAGCTCATTTTTCTATTTGTGAGATTTTTGTTGGAGATATTCTAAGGCTATATTTGGAAAATTAGTTGGTAGTTGATAAGTTAGTTGATGTACATATTTGACAAAACTAGCTGATAAGGATGTATAATGACAAAAAATGACATCTTGAAAAATTAATGAATTATAATAGTTCAAAATATAATTGAAACAAATCTCTAGTAATATAATATATTAACTAATACAACAGGATGGTAAAAAAATAAAAAAATAATAATATATTGATTATAAGAATTTCAAATTGATTATTATATATTATAATATTTGAATTTGTTAAAATAAATTTTATAAAAAATCTATTACTTATGATTTTAAATAATCATTACATATAACTAGTTATGTGTCTCCACAATACGGCATGATACCAAATTTTCTGATAAGCCCACAACTAAAAATGAGTGCAACTATTCATTAAAATTTATATTTAAACATTACATTTGTCAGGTAAAGGGAACCCTTTGAAATAGTTTAGTACAAAAGAGAATCAAAAGGATAAAACAGAAAATCACGTTACACTTGATACATTCTTTTATGTAGAGGCGATGGTCCAACCTCAATAATTTCTATAAGAAAATTCATAAACAAGCCAAAAGTGACTGGAGCACGTGAAGCCTTCAGAACATGCAACTTTTTATCTAAAATAAATGCAAGCAACATGAACCACCTTGGTCGATGTATACAAAACCAGCATTTAAAGTATACCAAATCATCTGAAGCTCGTTTGAATGAGCCATAGTCGAGCTTCGTTCACCGTACTGTTTATAGGAATGTCGGCCTAATGAAGCATGATGTGCAGTTACAGCATAGGCGTCAGGCTAAAAATCTTGTTAACCCATCAAGAAGATCCGGTTGATCGTTACAGAGTGCAACAACATG